TGTGTGTTTGGCTAGTCTTGATAACACTAAACCACATTTCTTTAGTGGCTGGATCACTTTGACAATTGCATTTATATACATTGATTTTTTTTTCCTGTTTATTGTGCCCTGGAAAGTGAGATAATCCTGCTAAACTTTATAGTTACATAGTATAGAGGCCACTACTTAATTCATTTAAACAATTCTAAAGTAGATATCATTGTAGTCTCTATATGCATGCCAAAAATTAATTATAATAAGCTTCATTAAAGGAAACACTTGTATAATTAAATTTTAATTATAATAAGGGTCGAAACTTAGCTAATGTATACATGATTATCTCTCACATATCTTTTTTTTTTCTTTTGGGTGCAAACTAATGCATGTATCATGCATATAAAATCAAAGTTTGACTGTATTATAGATTTAGGCACTTTGACTTTTCATGCTTTAGTTTCATATGTCAAACAATAAAAATGTTGTTGTGCATGTTATATGATTTTGTGTTACCTGGGCCAGATTTATATTTTACTTCATAATATCTAAATAGCTTTTTATAGGTCTAACCTTTTTATATTGCTTTTCAAATTATCTTCTAAGACTTGGAATTTCATGGAACTGTTTATAAGAACCTTTAAAATGACCTTTCTCTTGAGCACACCTCAGTTTTAAGATACATCTGGTAATTACATAGTCAAATAATATTAATGAAGCATTCACTGTATATAAGGCATATGGATCATAATCTTAGGACTCAGGGTAATAAGTAGAATAATATATTTAGTTTCTTCCATACCTAGATTATTTTCCATTAAAAACCTAAATGATGAAAAAAAGTATTAAGTCACAGTGTTTAAAAATGAGACCGTATCTTTAAAGACTTTCACCTAATTTTTTCTTTGTCCTTTTAATCATGTCATTCACCTGTTTAAAATTTTAGTACAATTGAAATTGATTTATTTAGTAATTAAGTTACTAATACATTTATGAAGTTCTTTAGTACAATTTATTTTCTATGAAATTATAAGAATATTTAAGAATTATAAATAATTTATGTGGGACACTAATTTTGTTGACTTTTTTAAAATAAGATTGATATACTTGCTGCTGAACAGCTCTCAACTTAATAGCAATTTATCTTAACACTTAACACTGGGTATCCATATAAACCTATACATCAATATTTACATGCATATTATTATGATA